CGGCCCTGGTCTCCCGGACCGGGGGTAGGGGTGGGGAGGTGGCGCAGGCCGGGTCTCACAGTGGGAAACCGTTTGCACCCCACCACTGCAGAACCCAGTTGGCTTAATTTGGCTTGCAGTGCTTTTAGAAGTTATTAGCATTTCCGCCCTCCCCCCGTTCCCCGGTACCGGGAATCGAACTCAGGACCTTGCACTAGCGAGGCAGGCGTGGCGCCACTGTGCTAAATACCCAGCTTGTGAGCAGTTTTAAATTGACTGATTTCCCCCAATTCCTGTACTTGTGATTGAATCCAGGGCCTTTGCACTGAACTACATGTCCAGACTTCTTTTAATTCAATTTTTTTCCAGGTCGGGTCTAAGTATGTCATCCAGGCTGGCCTAAAACTAGTGATGATGATCCTTCTGCCTCGGCCTCCCAAATACTGGGATTCCAGGCATGTCCAAGCCCGCCTAGTTAGATTTTGATTTTGTTTTTTGGTGGGGGGTTTGGTCCAGGGATAGAACTCAGGTCCTTGTGCTTGCGAGGCAGGCAGTGGCACCACTGAGCTAAACTCCTGGCCCGATTTTATGTTTTTCAAAACTGCTTCCACTCAGACCTTGCCACCGTGGCGGTGCCGGGAAGCTCCCCATCCAGCCATTTCCCACAGGACACAAGTACCTCGCTCATCCGCCTATACTTTTTTCTCTGCTGAAAGCCAGGGTGCACACCCACCCATGTTCCTGGGAGAGGGGCTCTCAGCAGGCTGCTACTTTGGGGGCTGCATCTCAATGGAAGAGCGGAAGAGACCATCAGCTTCCTGTTCCCCTTGTGGGGAGGGAGGGTATCATGTTCCCCTGGTATGAGCAGAAAAGGCTCCTCTGTGTGAGGACCCGGAGCCTGCCCGGGCCACCCCTGCCGCTGAAGTCCCTTTGCCACAGATTCTGCCTTCTGTCTAGTCATTGGGGCTGTGACTGTCCTGGGTGTGGTGCTTCATGTGACTTCCAGGCCACAGGAGCACCTAAGGGGAGGGAAACCTTTTCCCTGCAGCAAACCCTCCACCGAAACACCAGATTTATACTCTGATGGCGAACTCTCACCATTAGAACAAGATTCTCACAGAACCCACAAGCCTTGGCAAAATCTTACAGGTCACCTACTGGCTTCCAAATGAAGCAAGGGGGGCGGTGCATAGTGGTGAATTCCTGTAATTCCTAGCAGTGTGGCAGGCTGAGGCAGGAGGAGTTTGAGCCCAGCCTCAGAATTTAGTGGGAACCTGTCTCAAGATTTAAAAAGTTAAAAGGGTTAAGATGGGCCTCAGAACAAAGACCCTGGAGTCAATCTCCAGTACTGGGGAAAAAAAGAGGCAAGTTTTTTTTTTAATGGAGACAGGGGGTGGGGATAGAGTGCCTGCCTGGCAAGCACAAAGTCCTGAGTTTGATCTCAGTAACAAAAAAAAAAAACAAATGTCCTTAGACTTTAACTTTTTTCTTTTTGTGACAGGGGCTCCAACTCCTCCTGCCTTAGCACCCCTAGTAGGAGTAGCTGGGACTACAGGTGCACACCACACGTTCAACTGTGTTGAATTTTTATTGCAGTCTTCCAAATGTGCACAGGCTGGGACCCCTCCTGCATATGAGAAGGGTCCCAGAGACGCCCCCTATCGCCTCAACTTCACAAGAGGGCACAGGAGTGGGGAGTCAGTCCCTGGGTCCCGAGGAGCCACCTTCCAGGCGGCCAAGGCTCATCCCCTCTGTCCCCACACAGGCTTGTGCCCCCGCCCCTCCGCCATGGCCCCGGTCAGCATCAACGCGCTGCCCGAGAACATCCTGCTGGAGCTCTTCCTGTGCTTGCCCGCCCGCCAGCTGCTGCTGCACTGTCGCCCCGTCTGCAGCCTCTGGCGGGACCTCATCGACCTCGGGACCCTCTGGAAGCGCAAGTGCCTGCGCGAGGGCTTCATCACCGAGGACTGGGCCCAGCCTGTGGCCGACTGGAAGGTCTTCTACTTCCTGTGCAGCCTCCGCAGGAACCTCCTGCACAACCCCTGTGCTGAAGGTGGGCTGAGGTGGGCGGGGGCTGCTGTTGCAGCTGTTGTTTCCCTTTCCTAGACCTCAGGCCTTTGCGCTTGCCGTCCCCCCTGCCTGTTGTGCTCAGAACCCTAACACCTGTCACGTGCCCTTGCTTCCTCAGCACCTCCTGTGTCTAGGGTATGTGCTCCTTGTAGCTCCAGCTGCCACTGAGTTCTGTCTGTGCATTCACAGCCCTCTCGTCATGGGTTTTCTCCTCGGACTCACTAGAATCCCAAGAGTCAGCAGAGTGTGCTGCATTTCCTGGGTGTGGCACCTTGGTCCCAGAGATTCATGGCTTGCCCAGAGATCCTGACTACCACCTTTGAGGTCTAGGCCTGGCTGATGTAGCCTCAGGCCCTCTCAGAGGCCCTGTAGGTGACACCAGACAATCTCCCCGCCTGCCCTAGATTCTGTTCGGGAGCTGCCCAGCCAGCCAGCTCTAGCGCCAGCAGTCTGCACCGTCTGGTGCCAGGCCCCATGGCCAGCCATGGTCAGCCCACGCTGCTCAGGCCACTGTACCCAGGCCTACGCTTGGTTCAGGCCCAGGTCCTGGAATCCCCCAGCAGTTTGGAACAGGGCTTCCTGTGGTGGTTCTGGACAGCTTGGTGGAGAAGCACGGAGGCTTTCCGAGGTCCTCGGAGTTCAGTCTGAAACAGGACCCACCTGACAGATGACCTTCATGGACACAGGCCATGAACTGCTATCCTGGGTCCCCATCTGGTACCCTGAGTATCTGAGTCCTGTCCCAACAGCAGGCTCCCCCAACCCACTGACAAACCCACCAGACCAGACAGGCCTCTGTCCCATCCCCTAGGCTTGTGTCCTGTGGCTAGAAGGAAGTCCCAGCAGCCCTGGGGTCAACACTGTCACGGACCCTTCCAGATACAGCTTAAGAACTGAAACTTGGGTATCAGAGCCCCACGGCAACATGGATGTGAGGGAAGGGTTGGTTTAGCATTTCTGTTGCTTCCATGCCCACTTGAGATCAGCCAGCTGGGGACAGAGTGCTGATGAACCCTGGGTGTCTGCAGCCCCAGAAAGCTGAACACAGCAAGCCCCCATGTCCAAAGTCTCCTCCCAGGCCAGGACTTGGGGTGCAGCCCAGTGTGAGAGGCCCTACATCCAATCCCAAAAAAACACATCGATGGAGGGGATTGCAACTTGGCTTCCGCTCTTTCTAGAGAACATGGAATCGTGGCAGCTTGATGCCAACCAGGGGAGCAAGTGGAAGGTGGAGAGACTCCCCGGGGACCATGGCACGGACTTTCCTGACCCCAAAGTCAAGAACTACTTTGTCACATCCTACGGGTGAGAACTGAGCAGAGCCTGTGCTGAGGGGAGGGAGTGGGACACCTTTGCCAAGTCTCAGGCCAGGTAAGGGTCTCTGGAAGCTGGAGGGAAGCAGTTCCCAAACACGTAAGTGCACTGGGCAGTGGGCAGAGATCGGGTTCAGGTAGCCAGGAGCTGACTGGGCAGGGCAGTAAGTAGGTCAAGGTGTCTACCAGATGCCAACATAGGATTGGGGGTCCCGGGGGGCCTCCATGGTGCCCTGAAGATGAGGCCTGTGGTGTGGCAGTCACAGGGTGCCCCAGGGCCCCTTTGATCTCCCTAGTGCCCTGAGGGCTGCCAGGGCCACAAGAGGGCACTGCACATCACTTCTGGAATGCAGCCCTGCTCCCCACCTCCCCAGCCTGTGCCTCAAGTCCCAGATGGTGGACCTCAAAGCTGAGGGCTACTGGGAGGAGCTACTGGACACATTTCGGCCAGACATTGAGGTGAAGGACTGGTAAGTGGCCTGCATGCCCTCATTCCACATCCTGCCCTCCTCAGAAAACCCACAGCAAGTGCCCACTCGGTGCTCAGCCTGTCATAGAGCCTGGCGGACCTGGACCTGCCCTCCCTCTCCCACCCAGTGCCTGTGAGGTCCCCAGTCTGCAGTGAGGAGACTGAGGCCTGCCAGTGAAGGCCCCTAACAGGAACAGAGCACCCTAGGCCTCTGTGGACTTCCTGGAAATACACCTTCTTGCCAGTGTCTCCTGACTTTCCCGTGATGTTTCTTCTTTGCAGTCCTGGGGCTTGAACCCAGGGCCCTGAGTGTCCAGAACACCTGCGCTGCCACTGAGCCACACCTAGCTCACAGGTCTTTCTTGAGCCCCTACTCTGGGCACAGAACCAATGCAAGGCCTTGGCCTGGCCCACGCAGATCCGGACCCCAGTCCAGCCAGGGCCCAGGCAGCACCATAGGAGAAAAGAACGAGGCCTGAGGGGCACCTGGGCAAGGCTGAGCTCTGTGCAGCCCCCACCCCAGAGGTCCCCACCTGGACATCCCATCCATGGTAATGCACAGGTGACATGGCTGGGACAGTCAGGGCCTCGTGCTCTTCAAGGTCACCTCTTTAGCAGAATTCCCCCCCAAAAGTTGCCCTTTTAGGCCCTGCATGAAGAAATGGCCTTCCCTAGGGTGTGGCAGGACAGAGAGGTCCCTGAAGCAGGCCAGGCCCGGCAGAGAAGCAAGCTCAGGGAATGGAGCCGCTCTGTGTGTGGCCTGCTGCCTGTCTGTCCCCAGGGCCGGCTGGGGGGCTTGGTGCACAGCTCTCCCACCTCCTCCAGGTTCGCTGCCAGAAGGGACTGTGGCTGCACCTACCGGATCCAAGTCCAGCTGGTCTCAGCTGACTACATCACCCTGGCCTCCTTCGAGCCCCCGCCTATGACCATCGAGCAATGGAACGACGCCATGTGGACAGAGGTGAGGCTGCGCCCACCTGCCACCCATTTCTCCCAGCCTGGCAAGCTCCTCGCCTTTTGGCTTAGGAGTCACCTCTCCACCTCCCCCCAGGTCTCCCACACCTTCTCAGACTACCCTCCCGGCGTCCGCTACATCCTCTTCCAGCACGGGGGCCACGACACCCAGTTCTGGGCAGGCTGGTACGGGCCCCGGGTCACCAACAGCAGCATCGTTGTTAGTAACAAGATGACCAGGGAGCCGGCCCCGTCCACCGCTCTGTCCCACAAGGTAGAAGTGAAGGAAGCTGCCCAGTTGCCCTCTCCCCTGAATGCACAGTTGGGATGACACCTGGCCACCATTCGTCCGTCCTCTATCCGAGTCAGCTGGAGGTTCTTCCAGGCAACAGCTGGGCCAGCAGCGGGCAGTAAATTCCCACCAGCTGCCAGAAACCTGTGGTCACACTGGCCATTGCCTTTTGTTATATAATAAATGTTTTCAGTGAAACCAGTCTAGGGTTGGTTGGGTGTGTGGATGGTGACGGGGTGGCACTCTGCTGGAGGAGCAGCCTTCCCAAGTTTACTTGGCTGTAACTGTCCCTCACTCTGGAGACACCCCAGCCAGCCCTGAGGGCACTTTATTGAAATGACTCACAGTATTTGAGACAGACGGTGTTGGCCAGTTGAGCCCCAAGAGATGGGAAACTGAGGTTCCAGTGTCCCTTGCTGCCCTCCTGGGGATGCTTCCTCCATGGAACCAAGTGGACCTGAACAGCCCCGGCTGGGGGTTGGCCCCTGCACAGGGGCAGTAAGAGCACTTGGAGGGGGGACCTGTGGCACTGTTGCACCTGGGTCCCCAGAGTCCAACAGTTGTGGTCCGTGGTCCATCGGCAGGTGCAGGCTGACCCTCAGCTGCTTTTATGAGCTCGCTCTTCCACATAGAGCTGCATCTAATAGAAAGAAATTGTCACAGCAGGGCTGGGTATTTAACTCAGTGGTTCTGCCGCCTGCCTTGCAAGCACAAGGACCCAAGTTCGATCCCCGCCTAGTACCAAAAGAAAGCAATTGCCTCAGCAATGGGAACCACCCAGGGCTCCTGGCAGGCAGATTGCCACCAAAGGTGAGGACAGCCAGGATGGAGGGGAATGGAGGGATGGGAGGAGCCTCACACCAGACATCCCTAACCCTGTCCCCCAAACCTTGAATGGCGAGCCTCCTGGCCAGGCCTTGGCTCTGGGCCCCACCTCTTAAATAAAGATTCTTTGATTCCCTGCAGCTTACCTTTAAAATGTCTGATGTCATGGTTTTTAGGGGTATCAGCCGGGGGTCATGCATGTGGACATCCTGCTCATCTGCCAGGATCCAGGGGAAGTCCTAGGGAGGGGACCACGGCGAGGGCATGTTTGGCTATCCCTCTCCTCCAGAGCTAGGGTCCTCAAAATCCCCAGGGAGCTGCCTACAAGGCAGCTCACACAGGCTCCTCCATCAGGGTGGCTGGGAACCTAACTGAAGTAACAGCCCCCACCACTGACCCAGAAGCTACTGGGCAAGGACCCCTCCCTTGAGAACTCAACTTGGGAAGAGCTAGGATAAGCTGGCAGCCCACATAGGATTCCACCTGGGCTCCTCCAAGCTCTGGGTAACCAGAGGGAGCAATGACCCAGGTGTGTGACCATGTGGTTGATCCACAGAAGCTGTCAGGTGCCGGGCACTAATGTAAGCAGGACATAAGGGCACTGACCATAGGCAATACTCTGGCAACCTGAAACTGTCCTCACCTGCTTCCCTGGCCACCCCTAGAGCAGTCTCATCTCACCTTGATGACCTGGATCTTCTCCATATTTCGAGTGGCAGCTTCTCTTGTATGCACCAAGACAGTGAAGGTACAGCCTGGAGAGGTGGGAATGGGATCAATCAAGGCCAGGCTGCCCCAGGCCTGCATCGGGCTGGGCTCTTCCCCTGTGCTCACTGCCTTGTCAGCCCTGTAAGTGTCTTTCTAGACAAGTGCTGAGGAAATCACAGGCAGCAGGGGCCTGAAGCCGAGGGAACTCTAGTAGGCTTCCTAGAGGAGGTGGTTCTGAGGGGCAGGAAGGGAGAGACTAGCTTTGCACTGCCCAAGGTAACCACAGGGAAAGGAGGGTGGGGCACACCTGGGGGATTGTGGTCCAGGACAGCATCACACACACTGATCTTCAGGATGAAGGCTCGGAGCAGCTGCTCCACGTGGGAGAGCAGGGAGTCAGAGCTGGGGACAAGAAAGGAAATCCGCATCTTGCAGGTGTCCCTGGCCACCAGCAGGTATCCCCACCCCGCCAAAGCTGATCTGGACCTAGGGCCCTGTAGTCCCTCTGAGGGTGCTGGCCAGATACACAATGGAGGAAGGCATAGTGGGCCTAGGATGTTCCATGTGCAGCCAATGGAAAGAAGCAGGACACAGCCCAAGCCTCTTCACATAGCAGGAGACCACACAGTTGGTGGGAACAGGTTGGTGCCAGATTCTAGTACATTGGCCTCACAGGGAGTGCAGAGAGGGAGGGCCACCACACATGTAGCAGGGTCAGCTTCTAGTGTACCATGGACTGGACAATTGTGCCCTGCTCTGCCGCCTCTGGGGTGACATTGGGTAGCATGTCCTTCTTTTGGACCATGGTTTCTCCATCTGTATAACACAAGGCTGGGCTAGTGTTCACCAATGCCAAGATGCTTTGTTGTGCCCAGGAAGGTGTCTGTGTCACCTGTGTGCCATCCACAGCAGTGTGGCCAGCCGGGGCTCAGCCACAAATGGCATGGCTGGTCATCTCTCCTCCCAGGCCTTTACAGAGGGTGTCAGAGGCTGCCTTAAAGTTAAAAGCTCTCTAGCAACAGGGGTCACTCTACAGAGGACACACCAACCAGCAGATTCCTCCGGCCAGCTCACCTGATGGACAGCAAGGGAGGCTGTGTGATCTCAAAGACAAACTTCTCCACAGGTCTATGCTCTTTATCTAAAATCACCACCACCACTTTCTCCACATCATTCTGCAAAGACATGAGTCCCCTTTCCAGCCAGAGCTGTGTGCCCTACAGTCCTACTCCACCCCTCCCAGCCCTCTGCTGCCTGAGACCCAGAGAGCAGGTTGGAGAAGTTGGTGTCTGCACCCTCAGACTGAGTGGTCCAGGCTGGGACAGGTTGGCTGGCTCCCATCCGGGTCCCAGGATAGGGCAGCAGGGAAGTCCCTCATGGCCCAGACAGGACAGAGATATAGTTGGGGGCAGACGGGAGAAAATTCTAGAACCCACTCAGAAATACCCCAATAACCTGGGAGCTCCCCCAAACAGGGCCCATCTGATGGGTGGGAGGGTCTCCAGAGTGCAGGCTTCTGGGTGTTAGAGCTAGGGGACCCCATACAGGCCCAGCATCACCCCATCCCAGAGTAGACCCATGGCACAGATTGGGGGTGACATGGCTAGAAGGCCCTAGTACCCCTCACCTTCTCCAGGAGTGGCTTGACGCAGTGAAGTGTGTCCTGGATGTACTGATTCAGCTCCGGGTGGCAGGACATCTGTCACAACCACATGGCATTGAGGGCAGAGACACAGACGGGATCCATCAACACCCCACATCATCACCTACCTTTGGACAGAAGCCCAGAAACTCTACAGAGGTCTTGCTGCCTGGGGACCCCTTTTTCCATCAGAGGACTAAGAACTGAATTTTTTCCCACAATGGAGAGAAGTTCAAAGTCAAGATTTCAATTTCAACATGAGCATTAGCATTAGGGACCTCCCAAGTCTGAAAAGCCCCACAGTTGTACACAAAGTTGTGTGTATGGAATGTAAATGCGCTATGAGAAAGGATCTCAGAAATTTAATCACAGTTCAAAAATTAAGCACCTATAGAGCTGTGTGATCCCCGGCAAATTACTTAACCTTTCTGGGCTTCATCTGTGACGATCTCATAAAGACAAAGGTTTCAATGAGATAAGAATACAGGGTGGTCGCCCAATAGATGTAAATCCATGTTTCTTTTTCCAACTATTCTTTAAGCTTCTACCAACTTCCAGGATTCATTTACTGTTTACAGAGAGCCTTCTAAGGGACCAGCACTTCCAGGGGGCGGAGAAAGAGCTTCCCTTTCACTGCTTTCTCTGCCTTTTAACCATAAACCCCCATCTAGATTGGATGAGGGGAAAGAGAAAGTGCTGCAAGTTTGCAGGAATCCTCTCCCCCAATTAATTTCCCAGCTGCAGAAGCTCTTTTAAAATACAGCCATGCCTGGGGGCAACTGGAGTACTGGGTCTCTAACTACAGACCAGGGGTTTCCCATCTGCCGGAAGGTGTGGGGGCTGCCCGGCCCTCCGGCTGCTGGGAAATGAAAGTACTAACACCTTTAGGGCTGGGGATTTGGCTCAGTGATTCTGCCGCCTGCCTCGAAAACCCTAACCCTAAGTTCGATCCCGGTACCAAAATAATTAAATAAATACATAAAATCACACCGTCTCCATCCGTCTTCCCAAAACTGTGCTTTAAAATAATAATTAAAAATAAATAAATAATAAAATACACCTTTAACCCGTACTGAGATTCTGGTGCGCCCACTGGACCCAGTCTGGCGCCCCGGACCACACAGGGCCTTAGGGCCCACGTGGTGCTCACCTGCACCGGCACGTTGTATTTCTTGCGCTTCTGGAAGATGCCCACCGGGTAGACCTCGCGCACGTACAGGATCAGGTGCACGGCCACCTCCAGGAACTCGCAGAGCACGTCGGCCACCACTGCGAAGGGCAGACCCGGTGCTCGGAACCTCCAACCGATGCGCACCCCTGCCCGCAGGTGCAGCCTCCCTACCTTGGCCAAAGTTGAGGTCCTGTCGCGTAAGCGTGGTCATCCTTCTTGCCACGACTTGGGGCCGAGGGTCGGGTGGTTCGCCTCGGCGTGAGGAGGCCGGAGCAGGGCGCCCCCTCTGCCCGGATCAGGACAGCTACGAAGGACCCCCACGTAGGTGTCACGGGGGTCACCGCCGCGCCCCGATCTGCCTCAGTCCACCGGGGAGGAGCAGGGACAAACGCAGCTGCGCGCTCAAACTGCTCGCGGCCGCGGACAGAGAAAAACTAAACCCGGCGGAGGAAGTCCCACCTCCTACCCGGCCAGATCCCTCCCCGGAGAGAATCCCTCCCGTCTCCGTTCCCCGGTACGGGCTCCGGCCTAGGTCCCCGTCTGGGTTTGGGTCCGAGCCCCGGCACCGCCGAACCGATAGCTCCCGCCTCCGGCTCAACCCGCGCCCGCCTCGGCGCCTTTCCGTGACGTCCGCGGCTCTGCTCTGGTCCTAGCGCCGCTGTTAACCACGCCCAGTCCCTGAGCCACCCAACCCGGGAGTCCGTAGGCGGAGCCTAATGCTAGACGGGGAGGAGGCAGCTACTGAGCAGGAGTCAAAGGAAGCTGGGGCGGGGCCGGGGCTGTGGGGCGGGCCACGGCGGGGCGGAGCCAGGCCTGGCCCACCGCGACTCCAAGGCCCCTAAATGTGCTGAGATCTCCCTTCGATGTCACTTGGGCGCGACCAGACACCTGTGTGTTTACACCGCATCGCTATGCCTTTTCCCCTCCACTGCGTGTCTCTTGCTTTAGGAGGAGCTGGGAAGGGGTGGGGGTAGTGGTGAGCACCAGGTGCAGGGCACAGCCGGGGATTCAGGGCAGCGACACCTGCTGACATCCTCAGACTCGCATCTGCTGAACCGATAGGGAACCTGATGGTTGGGGGAGGGGACAGGGGAGGAAGGGCGGTACCCTTGGGACGCTCCCATCCCCACCCCGTACCCGCAACCAAAAGTCGCCAGGCTGAACCGCCAAGAGTAAAACTTCCCTGCTTCAAATCGAGCTTGGGGTATGTACCATGTACAGGCGCAAATTCCCTATGACGAGTGCTGCCAATAAATGTTTTGCTATTAAAAATATATATATATCCAGGGCCGGGTATTTAGCTCATTGGCGCCACGCCTGCCTTGCAAGCGCAAGGTCCTGAGTTGGATTCCCCTTACCGGGGGAAAAAAAAAATGGGTGTGGTGGCACACACGCCTGTAATCCCAGCACTCGGGAGGCTAAGGCAAGAGGATCATGGAGAGCTGGAGGCCAGCCCGAACTGCACTGGGGGACCCTGTCTAAAATAGAATCCAAAATGGGCCGGGGATTTGTCTCAGTGGTTCCGCCACCTGCCTTGTAAGCGCAAGGAACCCAGTTCGATCCCCGGTGCCAATAAATAAATAAAATAGAAACCAAAACAAATTACTACCCCTCTCCGTAGTTCTAGGCACTGGAATAAGTGTGTCCATGGGTTATAGCGCTAAATCCTCACGTTAATTTTACCACACAAAAGTAGTTCAATTGTCCTCCTTTTGAAGAAGGAGGAGCAGGAGGTGAAGAGAACCAAATGAAGACACTTACCTGAGACTGTCTACAAGAGCCAGAAGGGCCATCCGAGCTAATGATAATAACAATATTAAAATAATTACCACTGTCAAACTCTGATTTCCCTCATTCTTTCATTAGCTTTGGGGACTAAGTATCCATTTTACAGCCCTGCTTTATAGACGGTAAAACAGATGTTCCCATGCTCATTGAAGTCACACACGTGGATACAATCCCAGCTCCTAGGCCTATTCAGGCACTGGGGCTTCCGGTGATTTAAAGGGCCCCCCCATATTTGACAGATGGGAGATCTAAGATCAGAGAGAGGAATGGGTGTGAAGTCCTGGCAGCAGATCGGAACCAGAAGGCTTTGTCTCTGAGCTCCAGGGACTGAAGAGCTCGTTAAGAGTCCTGTTCATGTGTTTGTACACAGATGCAGCCAGGAATGTGGACCGTTTGCAGCTCATTAGCGGACCTGCAGCCTCCCTCCTCTCACATGCCCTCAATACTCCATCCACGCGCTTCTAATGGGAAGGGAATAAGTAACCTGGCCAACAAAGCCAGGAATGTCCTGGGGTATTTCTCAAAATGCAGGAAATCTGCATGGCCTCCCCAGGGAACCTATTAAACACGGGGCTGGCCCTCTACCTGATCAGAGTGCACAGCAGGGCCCTGGCCCTTTAACAAGCTCCCCAGGGGCCTGGATGTCTGAGAAAGCGTGGGAATCGCCAGAGCAGTTTGCGTTTTGCAACATTGCGGTGCCAAGCCTGAAGGGATGCTGGTTTTGTTTCAAAACTTGATGCAATTGAAAGGTTCCTGGCAGCACAAGTGGGGCAAAGCGGCCTTTCTCCAGACTTGGAGACCCTGTCCACATTAGGCCATGTACAGCCAGCTAACAGCTCTGAGGCCTGCAGGCCTGGGCTCCTAGGGACTTCTTAATGGCGGACACCGAGTTACTGCGAGGAATGAAAGTCCTTCACCCCCTCTGGAGGCTGCGTAAGCAGCGGCAGTCTAGGGTATGGGGTGGCAAATCCTTGGGGGAGGGGAAGTTCAAAGGCAGAGAGGCCAGGGAGGGGGCCTCTGCACACAGCTCAGAGACATCTGGTTTTTCATATCTTAATCGCATCAGCGTGATGGATGGCCATGGCACCCAGACTCCATGATGGGGTTGATTTATTGTGTCATTGAATTCCCATTTCAAAGTTATTCGCATGTCTCCGCCATACTAACAATACGTAGGGGGCTGGCTGGGAGGGAAGGATGCACATGAAGGAGGAGAGAGCTTATTTGCCAACTGGAACAGGGCCCTGAAGGCCTGCAGTGGGGATGGAGGGAAGATCACTCCCAGGAGACATTGAAATGGAAGAGAGAAGGTGGCTTTAAGAAAGTGAGTAGCAGCCCAGCTCAGGCACGATTTGCTGAGCAAACCCACAATGCAAGAACTGGGTAAAACAACAGGGGTAGAGGAGCCAGACCCCTAAGATGCTTCCCCAGCCCCCTTCCTGCTTAAGGTCCCGAGGACACCAAAACACAAGGGATTGGGGTAGGGGGACCCGGAGGGAGTGAGCCACAAGGCCTGGGGACAATCCCATGAGACCTGGATGCTGCCGGTCCAGGCAGCTGGAACCCCCAGCCTCCTTCATTCTCTGAGCTCAGCACTCACCCAGTGCCCGGTCAAACTCAGGGGCTCAGAGAGATTTTTTTCATGAGTGAATAAAACTCGACAGAGGAAGAAAGTGATGACTGATGTGGCTTGCTGTCAGCTGCCCAACTTGAACCCTGGCTACGTCTGGGAAGGAGCAAGGTGGTCCCCTTTCAGTGCCTGCGCTGTAGGTGATCATCTGCAGAGAAGAGCTATTTTCAGAAGCAAATCAAGGGCCAGGTGTGGTGGTGCAAACCTGTTATCCCAGCAATCTGGGAGGCTGAGGCAGGAGGACCACAGGTTTGAGCCCAGACTGGGCAACTTATGGACTTAGTGAGACCCTGTCTCAAAGAAAAAGAAAAGAATATCAAAAAGATTTAAAAGGGGAAAGGATTTAGCTCAGTATGAAGGAACCGGGTTCCATCCCATTAGGAAAAAAAAAAAGCAGAACATGAATGGTCCCTGTGGTGCCCCACACCCACCAGGGCTGCTGCTTCTCCCCCCAGCACCACCTTGTAAGCAGCTGTGAGGCTCTTCCCTCACTGAACCTCGGTTTGCTCATCTGTAAAATGGGACAACACATCCAATTTCATAGATAGGAGTAATGAGACAATCTTTGAAAATATAAAGGACACAAGGCCTTACACTAACTGTTGGGATGATGCTAATGAGATCTGCATACACTACTGAATCCACCAGGACAGCCACTCTCAACAAAGCAGTACATTTCACAAAATCCCATCCAAATCCTGCTTGACTGCAGCCCCTTCCCCACTTCCATTTCTCAAGGCAGCCCCACAGGAATGACAGAAAAAGGCCAGCACCCATCTCCCTCCCCTGGCTTCCTGGCATTTAGGCCTGCACAACCACCCAGACCCTGGGGTCTCCTGCTGACCTTGGACCCAAGCTCTCAGGTCCTCTGAAGTCAACCTGAACCACAAGGACTTCTGACCCAGCTCAACTGCCACGTTGTTTTTGAGACAGGGTCTCTTTGTAGTTCAATCTGGCCTGGAACTTGTGGAGGATCCTCCTGCTTCAGCCTCCTGATTGCTGGGATTGCTGGGATTACCAGCACCACCACAACCAACTTTCAATTGCCACTTTAAGCTCTCAGGTCCTCTGAAGTCAACCTGAACCACAAGGACTTCTGACCCAGCTCAACTGCCACGTTGTTTTTGAGACAGGGTCTCTTTGTAGTTCAATCTGGCCTGGAACTTGTGGAGGATCCTCCTGCTTCAGCCTCCTGATTGCTGGGATTGCTGGGATTACCAGCACCACCACAACCAACTTTCAATTGCCACTTTTTTTTTTTTTTTATGCACGCACACCTATGATCCCAGCACTCAGAATGCTGAGGCAGGAGGATTCTCATGAGTTTGAGGCTAGTTTGGGCTATATTGTGAGTTCCAGGCCAGCCTGAACTACATAGGGAGATCCTGTTTCAAGGGGGTGGATTTAGCTTCAGTGGTACCACACCTGCCCTGCAAGTGCAAGGTCCTGAGTCTGATACCCGGTACTGAAAAAAAAAAGTCATAAACCAAAAAAATCTTTGTTGAGATAGCATTCACAAACCATAAAGTTCATGCCTTTACTGTGTGCAATGCGGTAACTTTTAGTACAGCCACAAAATCATGCATCCCTCACCACCAATTCCAAACAGCCACATCACTCCAGAGAGAAAAACCCCAAATTCATCAGCAGTCTCTCCAGTCTCCCCTTCCCCTGGCCCCTGGCAACCACCAATTCTTTCTGCCTCTGGTCTCACCTGTTCTGAACTCATCATATAAATGTAACCACATGCCTGTGTCCTTTATTGCTGCTTGTTTCACTTAGCAAGGTGTTCAAGGTCCATCGGGGTTGTGGCATATACTGTGTACTTCATTCCGTTTTATTTTTATTTTATTTATTTATTTATTGGTACTGGGGATTGAACTCGGGTCCTTGAGCTTGCAAGACAGGCGGTGGAACTACTGAGCTAAATCCCCAGCCCTTTCATTCCTTTTTAATGGCATGAGGATCCAACTCAGGTCCTTGCGCTTACTGAGCTAAATCCCCAGCCTTTACTTCATTCCTTTTCATGGCCGCAAAATACCCTTTTGTGCGGCTGTCCCATACATGTTGATCCTCTCTCCTGTTGGCCATTCAACTCCCATTTCACAGAATGGGGACACCAAGGCACAAAGTCACCACTGGATGGGACAGCAGCTGGCCCCTCCTAACACCCTAGCATCTACCTTTCCCCACTGTGTCCCACTGGAAGGACCCAAAACACAGAGTCCAAGCTTGTCAAAAGATCACGCAGCCAGGCAACAGCCATGGCAGCCCCTGAACCAGAGTCCTCAGGGTTCATCTCCTGGATTTTGGGTTTTGGTTGTTTTGTTTGGTTTTGTTTTGTTTGTCCAGGCTGAGCTCAAACTTCCCATCCTCCTGCCTCAGCCTCCAGAGTGCTAGGATTGCAGGTGTGTGCCACCTTTGAGAGTTCAGATCTAGAGTGGTTGGGCAGATAGAAACTGATTGGCTCTCCAGGGTGCCACACTCATCCTGGGTCCCTGGGGCCTGACCAGCAGGGTCTGTCTCCCTCCTGGCTCCTCCCTTCACACCCTGCTGCCTGGGATGAGCTGCTGTCCCCCCTCTGAGGTCCTCCCTCCACCGGTCCCAGCTGGCAATGGTGTGGAATCAAGAGCCAAAACACTCCTTTCCTCCTGTAAACTGAGGGTGTCAGGCGTTCAGCCCCACAATGGGGAGATGACCAGGACACCCGCTTCCAGGCCTAGCCCATGGTCACCTTTTCCCTGCCACAGTCCCTAACTGGTCTCCCTGATTTTTTGTCTCAACTCCACCACCACCGTTTGTTTTTTTGTTTTTTTTTTTTTGGTACCAGGAATCAAG